ACACCAAATACACAAAATAATGTTCTTTTTTAGCAACATCATACATTTTGCCAAACTCTGCATACAGTAAATTCTATTTGTTCCCAATTTGAGATTCCATCTATGTGTTCCGTATTGCAGAAATCATAGGGTCCTAACTCTAATGTTGCACATTTAGTTTTCAATTATGACTATTCAAAATAGAATTTCTTGGTAGTTCTTTGGGTTGGGCTTGTTCATTGTAAAGTAAAGGGCAAGACACACATCTGCAAAGTGATTCGCTTTACTGAACAATCAATTTAATAAATAATTTGAAACGACCTCCTGTCTGAGCGATATAACACTTTGTCAGCAGAACACAGCTCACATGCTCAATTTATTCATAATACAATTCATTTACTGATTCATTACAAACACATCTGCAGCTTGATGAGGGAGGGGGCTGTCTGCTCCATTAAACCAAACAGATAGAAATCAACATCCCATCACAAGGGATGTCACAGACGAAGCAAAATGTTGGCGAACTTGTGGAATGGATGCAATCAAACAATCTTGTTTAAAGAACAAGACCATAGAAAATAGCAGGCAGGGCTCACTGAACAGCACAAAGTGGATCAGTTTAACAGTGTGATCAAAGTATGATCTATTTTGATTAATTGAAACCACATCAACGTTAGCCAATCTGAAATAAAATACATTTCTGAAACAAGATATGCCACAGAAATATGATGCATTGTAACACTACGACCAAGGATTGTTAAAATTGGCGAATGCTATTTTCGTTCCCATGTTGTATGGATTTCCTGAAACAGTGTTAATTGATAAAGGAAGTTGAAATTGGACATATTGATGGGCTCAAATAAACAAATAATAAGATTTTATATTACAAGTAAAATTAAATTTGGAAAAAATAAACTTCGGAGATGGGCTCATTTTGTTTGTGAGAGTCTATAAGATCACATACATTTTTACAGCATAAATTGTGCTCAGATTGCATACTTTCTTGGAGAACGATGAAGGAGGATAAATCTTGCAGGTGAAATCAGATATTATATACCATATTTCTTAGATTTAACACTTTCTGTGGATAAAGTGCTATTGGATGTATTTCACTGCGTACAATTTACTCTAGTGTGACAGATTGGACTCATCTCACAATAAAAAGGTTTTAAGTCTTGAACGTTTTCATTTGTACTATACTGCAAAACAGAGACTGAACTTTGTTGCTAAACCCTTAGATCTTTGAAAAGAGGTGTAATTTGTCAACTTTAATTTCCTTCACCTATTTTTCACCTTCTCACAAGGTACACCTTTGTACCTCTTTTACCCATAAAGGATGCATTTAAGTACCTTAAAGGTACATATTGGTACTCAAAATTTACATATTAGTACCTAAACGGTAAATATAGACTAAATGGTACACCCCAGTAACAGCTTTTGTACCTTTTTTTCTGAAAGTGTAGTCTTCTATATATAGTAAATGTAAACAAAAGTAAACAAAGTGTGGGTATCATGTGTATTAACAGGTTAAAAATAGCCTAGCTGGCAGCCAAATCTTCACTGATTATCTAACCACAAATTATAAGTTTCATGAATCATTCAGCTTTGTTGGTGTGACTGACCTTGGTAGTGATGCCAAGAGATGCTCCGTTGTCCAGCAGGATGGATGCCACATCTTTGTGGCCTTCGCGAGCGGCCAGGTGGAGCGGCGTGTAACCGGATGTGGTGGTGGCATCGGGTGAAGCCCCGTGTTGCAGCAACTGCTGGACTATGTCCGGTTTGCCCAGACGACTGGATATATGCAGTGGGGTATGATCATCCTACACACACACACCCATGTAAGACTTGTTAGTCTTTTTTTTGCTTTGTAGAGGTTGTAAGATGCTAGAACTTTTTAATATTTCCTTGCAAGACTGCAGAAATCAATTAAATGAGGCAACGCTAAAGAGGATTGTGGCACTTTTGACAGTCATGTAACCGCAAACAAGCAAATGTTTCCTATTAGTATAGATTGACTGCATTGCATTCCACAGCTATTACACTCCACTTTGAACAATACAGTAAGTGTGTGTTAACATAATGCATCACTTTAAAAGTCTTTCATATACATACTTATTTCACAGGTGGTACTTGACTATTGCACTCTTCCATATAATGTGGTTAATGTTTGACCAGAATTTTTAAACCAGATTTTTACATTTTCTGCTAAAGTGATTTGTGTGTGTTTTTAGTGTGTTGCTAT